AGTACTCCAAGCCAAAACAGAAACTATTTAGTAATCATGCATGATCCTAGTTCATGTTAAAGTGGCTAATGCATCGCGTACAAAATGTCACTAGAATAGGCTCGGCTAATCTATGGATGGCATGTGAAATGCGACAGATAGCATATATTCAAGTTAGATTTGAAATACTATGCAGTTAGCATGATGCGCCGAGCCCGGTGCATGCAATACTGATGAATGAATGCTCGCATGCATAGCATAAAGTATGCTAAATTAAATATGCCCTAGTACTAACCATCAAAAGCAGGTAAGTAAAAGGGAGAAAGAAATAGGGGTTGGAAGACATGTACACACACCCACACTTATTATACATTTGCCCTCGCTCGGAGGGTCCAAAAGAATAATACAAACTGAATAATGAACCAACTATCCTAACTAATTAATTATTACAAAACTTCTAATTAATTAACAAATTAATTACAAAAAAAGCCTAAATATGAAACTAAAGAGACCGTCGCAGCTCTGCCTCAGAATGCGTGGATGATGCATGCTCGATTTGCCTTGCCCGGAAACCCGCTGCTATGCCATTGTTGCCTCTGTTTGCACTGTCCTATACCTTTGAGGACTATGAAAATCTTGGAGATGCCTCTGAATTGCTCCCTGAGCATTGTGAGATGCCACCGACCAAGGCATAAGATCACTGGCCATTGATAAATGGTCATCGACCAATTGTTGAGCCATCGGCTAATTATTTTTGGTCGGTTGGTACTGTAGGTAGCCGGTCAGCCAAATCTTCTTGCCGGAACCTGTTTTGACAGCAACAGCGGACAGACAAGGCATGACATGGAATTTTCAAGACAATGTGTGCACGGCCACCCTCCCTATCATGCTATGGACTCAAGGGAGTATGGCCCTCGACCCTCGGGCCACCAATCACGCATTTCAATGCATGATGGCCAAAGAAGCCAAGTGTGCAATTTCAATATCAAATGAAGATGCACAAAAACACATAAGGAGGTCCCAACCTCTATCATGCTTGATCAAGAGGCAAGAAATGCACACACAAAGCTATGCAACCTAAGTATGCAAGCAAGATGTAATAGGACTAGTATGCAACAAGCATGTAAATATGATGCAAAGTAAGCAACTTTGAACAATATGGTAAATGGACTTAAACTAAAGATGGAGGCCTCAGCTATGCTGTAGACGTCCCCGAACGCCCTGGGAGGATGAGTCCCGTTCTGTTCGTTTTGGGCTCACTACAGTTCGGACTCTCAAATCGTCATGGTTCTTAATCTGAACCAAAGAGTCCAAATCCGGCAAATCGTTTTGGAAAACAGATTTTTAGAAAGAAGTGCCAAACATGGACTGGTTGCCAGATACAGAGTCGTCACCTATATATTTTTTTTAATGGGAGAATTTAGGAAACCCTGACTCATTTGCCTAAGGCCACGTGTCGGTCGTCACCAGAGTTGCCTCTGCTCGGAAACTTGGGTACGATTGGGGAAGGTTAGCTATGAGCACCCCCTCTCGCCCGATCCGAAGATCGGCCTCTACTAATCATGATATCTTATTTTGAAAACATTATGCGTTCTTATTCCGGTTATTAGCCTAGATTTACTATGTGATGCGCACAGCATACAAGTATAGACTGAATCGCCTGAGTTAGAATAAAACATTTCATGTTTGTTTTTTTAAAGCAGTTTGCTACTCGTAAGTAGGCTAAAATGCAGGTTTTGCCACCCTCAAGTGGGCTTAAAACTCACGGTTTTAATGCATTATTCCAATTCAGGTAATTCAACCTCCATCTACAGGCATTCAAGCTGTTATATCACATAAGCAAATAGTCTCATGGTAATCATGCTGTCATGGCAACATTCACACGCATGCCAGGATGCTAAAGCGTAAAAGCTTATGGTGTACTCCAAGCCAAAACAAAGAACTCGTTAGCAATCAATGTATGATCCAAGTCCATGTTAAGTGCCTAATGTAACGCATACCGAATGCAATCAGGATAGGCTTGGCTAATCCTAGGATGACATGTGAAATGCAACCATTTGATGCACGTATTCAAGTTAGATTTGAAATACTATGCAGTTAGCATGATGTTCCAAGCTCGATGCATGCAATACCGATGAATGATGCATGCATGCATAGCATAAGGATGCTAAATTAATATGCCCTAGTACTAACCATCAAAGCAGGTAAGTAAAAGGGAGAAAGAAGTGGGGGTTGGATGACATGCACACACGCACCCACACTTATTACAAATTTGCCCTCGCTCGGAGGGACCGAAAGAATAATACAAATTAATTAACCTACAAGCTAATTAAATATTACAGACCAATTAAATCTTTCAAGACCCCTCTGTGAACTGTTCCATACCCACCGTCTGCTATGAAATTAATATCTGAGAACCCATCTGTAGCTTCCTGCAGTTCTTTGAAATCAAACCGTCTTGGAGGTTTTCCAAAAACTGGTGCCTTATGTTGACATAGTGAGCACAATGGAGGAGGTATTGAGCAAGTTCTGCTTAACGAGACTGCTTGTCTGACGGTTGAGTTGAAAATGTACTCTCTTTCGGGAGTTTGGTTGAGCCCAGGTTCTACCATGTCCTGATTAAACTGTGTAAATGTATCAAGTAGAGTTCTGGTACTGGGAGCTTTGATTTTGTGAGTATTTCTGTAGTTTCTGCTTGCTGGGGCCTTCTCATCAATAGCGTGATTTTGGGGAATCCATAACACAGTCTTATGATTACTAGTTACAGATGATTTTGGTCTTCTTGAGAGAGTAACTACCCTTTCCCTGTCCATGTCAAGTTCTGTAAGTGGATCATTCAAGTTATTTTGTTTATTACTTGGGCTATACTTTCCCTTGTTAGGTCCTTCAAAAAGTGGATTTTGTTCATAGACAAGGAAATGAGACGCCACTGTGTCAGGGCTGGATAATGAATTTTCTTCTGTTGTTCTTGTGTAAGAAGTGCTTGGTTCTTCAGGGCTGCTCACAGGAGTAGAATGCTTCATGTTGTGCCGCTGCAACTTTCCAACATCCAAATCAGGTGAAGAAGCAGCAGAATAGAAGGGGGTTTGGAGTTCATCTGAGGATCCTAGATTCAGCCTAAGAACTTTTGGTTGAGAACCTTTCATTACTACAATGTTACAGTGAAGTTCCTCCAAGCAATGCTTTTCATACTATTATAGTGCA